GGGAATTGTTCATTCAGGAGGGAAGGTAGCTCTGTCCTCACAGGCCAGGACCTCTGGGAAGTTAGGACCTGACCTCGACCTGAGGACACAGTACCTGCTCTCACACATTCACTTAATATCACCTTTACTCTGCCGGGCACTCAGCATACCCTAAGCTCAGGGCGGAATCCTAGACCCGGCCTTCAGCCAGGACACCAGAGGCTGTCTGCAGGAAAGGGGAGGCTTCTCTTGAACAGCTGGACTTTCGGAACTATCCCGGAGGCGGAGCCCGCTCCCAGCTGCTGGGCTCCAGAACACTGACCCCTCAGAGGTGGCAGAACAAGGCCTGGACCAAGCAGGCTGGACCCCGAGAAACGGCTGGCCCAGCACAATCCCTGCTTTGTCTCCAGCCCCAGCCCAGCCTTCATCCTGTCCAGAACCCAGGGCAGGCTGGCTCAGTTGGCATCCCTGGACAAGGTTCTGGAGTGGCCTATGGGCAGCTCAGCCACTTTACATTGGGATCTTGGCTTTGGATCAGGCCCACCACCCGCTGCCATGTGGCTGAACACATCAGCCAGCCAGCTTACTTACTGTGTAAGTAAGCTGGGTCTTACCTGCAACCAGGAGAGTCCATCATGGCACTGTTAACTTCTTGCAGGACTGCATGAGGACCCCGGACAGAGAGGAGGCTTAGAGGGCCCTACTCTCCCATAGGACCCCCAGACAGGCTCCAACAGGAGCCCCCACACCCATCGTATACAATGGACATACCCAGATGGACCCACTGTGTCCAGCCTCAGAGGCTCACCAAAGCTCCAGGAAAACCCCATTCTACAGATGGGAGCTTGAGGCTCAAAGGCCCCCTCTGCTACTGAGCAGCCACAACCCACGTGGCAGTGGCACTGCCCATGAAGCTCTAAGTGTCCACAAGGGCCCACAGCCCCAGGGATGGCCCTCCAGTGGCCAGGTGGCCCACAGGAGTGCTGACTTGAAAAGCAATCTATCTTTCCTGGGGGCCCTCCCAAAAGAACCTCCAGGTCACTGCAAAGGTGTACTCCTTTACTGACCTGCACAAGCCCAGACAATGAAACTTTCCAACAACTTGGTCATTTAGTGTTTGCACCCGGGGAGGGCTTGCTGTCTGCAGTACACAGGAGCCTTGGCTCCTGCCTAGGCAGGGGCAGGGATAAAGATGAAGATATGCTACCACCTGACCCACTCCTAACCCGGGTCACTGCACAGACACCAGGAGAGAAACCAGAATAAACAACCGGGCCTTGGGACACATGCTCGCTAGGGCCTGTGTCCAGAAACAGGTCCAGGTCAGTGCTGGTAGCAGCTGGAGTGGGCAGCAGGAAGCCCTGGCATCTGCAATGCAGCCCTTGCTAGCCTCACTCTGTCCTTGAGGTGGCTGGTCAGGGAGAAGGCCATGAGCACATGCTGAGGACAGGAGGAGTCCACACACTAGCAACAACCAGGTCAACACTTGGCTACCCTCAGAGCAAGGGACGTCCACCTCAGACAGCCAGGGAGGGGGCAGGAATCAAGAGTCCCTTGGAGCCTCAGTCCACAGCAGCAGTGGCCTTGGCTGGCCCTAGTGCATTCACCTCTGAGCCCCTGTGAGGATCTTCCAAAAACAGATTCTCCTTGGAGCCTCAGAGGCAGCAGCAAGGGTTAGCCAAGCTTCATGTCACAGGGAGGGCCAGGTCTGACCCTACCACTATGTGCAGCCTGGGTATCTGCTCCACTCCTGTCCTTTCCCCCTCACCTCTCTTCTACTTTCTCTCCTTCACCTGTCTTCCCCTCTCTCACCTGACTCATCTCTCAGTTTCTCTCCTACCTCTTCCTCTGCTCACCTGTTCTACCCAAAGACTCCTCTTCACTCTGCCAGCCATCAGTGCTGTGGGTCAATCCTTTTTTTTTGGAGGCACTGGAGTTTGGACTCAGGGCTTTGCACTTCCTAGAGCTGTACCACTTCAGCTACACCCTTAGCCCCCACCAATCCTCTTAAAGGGAGCATGGAAGGGATGGCTCAGGTACTCCACCTGGCAGCCCATCCACCAGGTGACCTGGAGGGTAGCCCCTCTCCTTGGCCTGGTGACCCCTTCCTAGAACCCTGCCCCAGCCTCCTCCCTCTCCTGCCTTTGTATAAGGGGGCTCCGAGCCCATATCTTCCTGTGGAACCCAACTCCAGAGCAGCCAAGAGGCCTGCCATCCTTTACCTTCTCTATACCTACGGGGTCCTCCTGAGCCCTCCTGTGCTGGGGGTATGCAGAGCTCTGGCCTGGGCAGAAAGGTGACCTGCTCTGTCTACCAATAGGCTGAGGGGTAAAGACCATGTAGCCTATGCAACATGCTCTCCTGACCGCAAAGTGCCTCCTACTCCTCCTCCCCACCCAGCCTCTGGGGGGGGGGGCCTCTATGGCACAGACTGTCCCCATAACTCCGCATGGCCACCATGAAGGGGCTGCACAAGCATTTCTGAAATGGGGGTAGAGAGCCCAGGAGAACTCTGGCCAGTTATTTCCAACCCCAGGCCAGCTATACCTGCCTCTGGCCAGCCCTAAAGCTCCCCCCACCCATCCCCTCCGACAGACTCTCTTGTTGGGTTTCCTAGGACTGCTGAGCACTTTGGCTTCATTTGGCACCTGGCTGAGGACAGCTGTGAAGGGGACCACTCATGGGAGGACCACGGCACAGCAGCCCCATGGGGAGGCCAAACAAAGTAGTAGGAATGACTCACTGGTCCTACACCACTCAGGCAAACCTGTGAGCCACTGCCCACAGAGAGGCGCAAAGGAAGGGCAGGCTGAACCCTACCAGTCCTGGAAGGCAGAGGGAGGTTGGGGAGCAGCTTCCATGGGAAAGGACTTGAGTAGAGAGAGGCAAAGAAGGTGAGGGACGGTTGAAAGGAACAAGTCTTCTGCCCACGGACAAGAAGTGGACAGGAGCTGAGGGCCACACAAGAGGGTACCACCACATGTGGCCTCCATAGCTGCCCTGTGGCCATGCCACTACCAGGTCCCAGCAGGAGAAGCCCTCGGGATTAGAACATCCATAGGGCAGTGGTGAATGGAGGTCTAGTCCATGCTCTCCTACCAAGGGCCCCTGGCAGGAAGCTTGTCCCGCTATGAGTTAAATGCGGCTTGGAACATGGCAACTCTGCTGGTATTTACAGCCAAGTAGTTAGGCCCAGCGCATACACATTTGGGGCCCACACACCAAGATAAACCTTAAACAGCTGAGAGGGAAGAGGGGTGCCATGGGCAGCCTCCAGTGCTACACATTTGCACTGTGACCATCACAACTCAGGAGTGGGGTGACTTCATGGATGCCCAGGAAAGAGTCTGTCCTAGGGCTGTCTTCTAAACATCACATCTCACGCCTTGTTGACATGTGCTCATCTGAGCTGGAAACTCTCGCAATTAACTGTACAGCAATATAACTCAATGGAGAGCAGGAAGACCAGCCCCCGCTGAAGGAGGCCACACAGCACTGCACATAACTCACTGCTGTCATCACTTACACACTGAGGGTTCCTTCTAATAACATTTTATTGGTACAATAATTAGATTCTTTCGCTGCTTCCAGCTTTCTGCCGCCCTGGGCCCTTCCTTCACCAAGGATCTCACAAACCACAGTTGCTCATCCCAGGAAGTATGTCTATCCTGAACCCAACAGAACACCAGCTGTCTGCACCTCCCTGTCAAAACCAGGCCCTGCACCTTGAAGCCCGGGCCCCTCACTTAATACCTTGGTACTGTCGCCTCTGGGACAAGAAGACACAGCTTACAGCACCCAGACACTTCCTGCCTCTGCCTCAGTTACATCACAGCCACGGTCTCCCTGGGATCCAGGCCTGGCCCACTTTCTTCCCAAATGCCACCTCCCAGCACTGGCTCCTGCAGCCCTGGTGAACTTCGGAGGGCTCCTGAGCCCCCACCTACACTATACCCTCTTGCTGTCCTCCACTCCCCAGCATGCCCTGACTCTGGGAAACTTCTAGGACAGAAAAGGAGAAGCAGGCAGTGCCAATCAGACCTCTGGGGCTGCTGGGAGCCAGACTGGTCCGGAGAGAAGAAAGAAAATGGCTGAGTCCCAGCCTCTGACAAAGAGGACTGTGTGAATGTGCCTGGCTGACCAGATGAGGGGGCTGGCCAACCCCAGCCAGGTCCAGGAAAGTTAGCCAAATGCAAGGTAGCTGTGCCCACTGCTGGCCCTAGGGTTGGCTTCGCAGAGACCTAACCTGTGTGGAGAAAGACAGCGAGGAACAGCTGGGAAGCCCCCTCCTCTCTAGGCTCAGGGTCTCTTCCACCTGCCAGGCCCAGTAGCTGTCACCCTCTCCCTCCCCAGGGGAATCCAACGTCGCAGATACTCAGGCCTGAGGCTGGAAGCAGAGGAAGGCGCTGTCCAGCCCTATGACCATACAGGCGCGCTCACCCCTGCCGTGGAGGGATGTCCGGGTCCGGGACGCGGAGCTCAAGTGGCCCGGGCAGCGGCCGCTGCCCGGAGGTGGGGGTCGCGCGGCCCGGGCGCAGCTGCTCGGGCAGCACGCCTATTAGCGCGGCCGCGGCAGACGGCAGATGGGAGCCCGCTCGGCCCCCTCCTCCCGTGGCACAATGGGCCCGGCGCTCGGGCGCACAATGCGGCCCGGGCCGCGCACCTGCAGCAGGGCCGCCGGGCGCTTCCAGGCCCGACCCGTCCGCGCCCGTCCGCGCCCGTCCGCCGTGCGCCTAGGTCCGCGCCGCATGTCCTTGGGCCGCGCCCGACCGTCCTCAGCCGCGCGGCCTGCAGGGCTCCGCAGCGGGACAGGGGCGCACGGCCGGCCATTGTTCGCGGCCGCCCGGCCGGGCCTGGCCTGCAGCATCACGGCTCCGCGGTGTCCCTCGGCCCGCCGCCGACCAACACGGCATCCTCCAGCGCGGCGCGCCAGCCCGCGCCTGGTTCTGCGCCCCGCACCCCGGCCGCCCGCCGGCCCGCGCCCCCGGCCCCGCGCCCCCCCGCTGCCGGCGCGCACGCACCTGTCTGCCCTTGCCCAGCGTCCTTCTCAGCCGGTAGGGCCCCACATACTGCGCGTGCGCGCCCGCGTTCCTTCCCCGTCGATGTCATCGCTCCCGGGCCCCGCGCCGGCGAGTGGGCGCCCGGGCGCGCGGGCAGGGAGGGGCGGCCAGCCGTGCGTCCGCGTCAGCCGAGCGCCGTCCGCGCTGACCGGGCCGGCGGCGCCCCCGGCGGGCCGCGCTGCTCTGCGCCCCCCGCGCCCCGTCGCCCTCCGCGCGCTCGCGACCGCGTCCGCCGTCCGAGGCCTGGCCGCGGCTATGCCTCAGCCTCGTCAAGAGGACAGGGCGGGCGGGGGCACCAGGCTTTCGCCGCCGCCGCCGCCGCCGCCGAGGCCCGCGCCCGTGCCCCGCGCCCCCCGCGCACGCCCGTTCGCGGCCGCGCAGCCGAGCCCAGCCGAGCAGCCGAACCGAGCCGCGCAGCCGAGCCCAGCCGAGCAGCCGAGCCGCGTCGAGTGGTTCCGAGCCGAGCCGAGCCGAGCCTGAGCGATCGCTGCCGGTTGCAGCGACCTTTGCAAGTGGTGCCTGCACCAGCCAATCAGAGACACTGCCCAATCAGCGCCCCCTGCCTCCGTCGCCCCGCCCGCCTCCGCGAGGGCTCTGAGAGGCAGGGCTCAGAGAGGCGAGGCTGGGGCGCTGCGGGGTTGGGGCGGGGGCGAGGGCGGAGGCCCGGGCAGACCAAGGCGCCTCGGGTCGGATGCACAGCCTAGGAGCTCTTGCTGCCGCGCGGCCGGCCTTAAGGCACTTGCTGGAACCATGCAGGCAGCTGGCGGAGGGGAAGGGTGCAGGTGGTGTCCGCCTTGGTCTGGGACCCTGCAGGCCAGGACACCGGGTTTCGGAAGGAGTTTTCCGTCTCTCGTGGGGGTGCTGCATGAGGAGCTGGAATGTTGCACTCTGGCGGAGGTGCTGCATGCAGGTTGGGGTTCTGCACGCAGGCACAGGTGCTTCGTGCAGGGTGGGGTTTCACACACCGGCGGGGGTGCTGCATGCAGGCTGGGGTTCTGTACGCGGGTGGGGCAAGTGTGGTGCCATGCAAGGAGACAGAACTGTACACTGCAGTGTCCAGGCGTGTCGTTTCCCCTCCGGAGGCGGTGCCTGATAGCCGTTCTCCACCGCGGCTCCTGTTCCCATGGGAAGAATGGGACAGCATTTCCCAGGTGTGCAATGGTGACCAGTACAGCAGGGTCAGGGAACTCGAGCAGGGGCACAGGGCAGCCTGCTACCCTGGTGCTTCCGAGACCTTTGCTGCAGTCCTTTCTCCCTTCAGGCTAAGTGGCAAACTCACGGCACCCACATTCCAGAGAAGTGTCTGAAACATGTATGGACATCAGGCCAACCCACAGAGGAAGCCAGACCTGGAGGGACCCTCTGTTTCGTGCATAGAAACACAGGTTACCTTAGCTAGTGCCGCAGAAGGTGGTGCCAGAGGAGAGGTCTGCAGATCTGGGGCCACACTGCTTTTGCACCTCCAGGAAAGCTGCATTAACCAACATGGTGCCAGGTCTACAGCAAGTTCATGGTTATTGAAATTTCACCTGCAGGTTTTAAGAAACATGCCCTTGGATATTGATGACCAGCTGCCCACCTGCTCCTGCCTACCCTGGGGGCTACATAGTGACCTTGGGAAAGGTCTTGCTTATTCCAGAACCAATGGGATAGCCAATGGAGAATGCACTTTGGGCATTCCAGCCCAGGAAAAGGAGGCACTCCTCGAAACAACCGCCCCTTCCACTGGCGTGGCATCTCTTTGGAACTGGTGGGTTTAGGGTCCTCCAGTGCTAAGTTTTGGAGCCTCAGGATGAGCAGTGTCAGCCAAGATCCTGCCAGTGGGGGCTCAGAGACTGCTGCTTGCACCACTGGGGACAGGAATGATTTTATTAGCTGAACTTACAGAGTGTTTGGTACACACCCAACATTGAGCCAGGTAGACTGGGGGTGTCCCATCAAGGATGAACACAGGCAGGAGAGCAGGAGGGTGCAGATGGTCCATTGGAGAGGAGGGCCTCGGTGAAAGAGGACAGAGTCTGCTGAAGATGCAAGATTGCCTTCCCCTACCTGCTGGTGCACTCCTGGTCATCTGGCCTCCCCAGCCTAGTTCACCCTCTTTATGGTGCCCTCAGCAGCATTTGGCCTTTGACCCTCCTCAATCTGCTCACCAAAACTTCAAGACTCCACTTTCTCCCCATTCCCATTCCAACCAAAGCCCACCTTGTGCCCCTTGTTTTTTTCTTTCCTCTCTGGCCATGCCTCAGTTTTCTTGGTGTCTGTGCAATTCAAATCCATCATCCACCTCCAGGTCTTAGGCCGGGGGCCTTCTTCCTGCCCCTCTGTATCCCTCAGGAGTAGCCATACCCCCTCTAAGCCTTCGACCCATCTGTGATAGCTACTGCCAGCACCCCTCTGGGGCCAGGCTCCAATTGTACCTGTACTATTGTGTCTGCTGTAAATTCTCAAACTCAGCATCTTCATGACTTTCCCCTTCCCCCATCTTGGAGTCCAAAGTACCACCCCTCATGTCCAGGCTTCTTTCATTCGGGTCCAGCAGGTCTGCTGTGGAGGGACATTTGGAAGAATGGAGAGTTAAGAGGTTTTGGTGACTGTAGGTGCTCAGTTATTGGTGGTCCTCTCGGTTGCATTGTGGGGATGGAAGCCAGGAGGACAGTGAATAAGAAGGTGGCCCAGGCTGAGAGGCCTGGCTGGTGGGGGTTAACACCCCACTACATCAGCTCATTCAGAACACAGAGGAGGTGGGAGCCTAGGAACCATTGTAGCCAGATAAGGACAGGACAAGAAAATTAAAATCTACTTCCTCTCACGAGCCTACACACAAAAATCCTTAAAAGAACATCAGTAGGTACATAAAAAGAAGAATAAATATGAGCCTGTGGAACTTTCTCCAGGAATACCAAGTTAATAATTCCAAATCAATTTACCCTGTCAGCAGAATAGAAAAACCACACAATCATTTTGATAAGTACAAAAGAAGCATTTGAGAAAATTCAATGCCCGCTCATAATAAGAACTGAGTAAACTAGGGATAGAAGGGAACTCCCTCAACCTGATAAAACCACCACAAACACCACAGTGCTGAGGCTGCCGGGGATGAGGCAAGAATGTCTGCTTATCCTTTTATTTGAGTGTTGTAGCAGAGGTCACAGCCAGTGTCATAAGACAAGGAAAGCAAAAGTTACAGCAATTGGAAAGGAAAAGTTTAAATGATCTTTATTTGCAGGTGACATTATTGTAGCTACAAAATACAAAGACCACCCCCCCACCAATCAATTCCATTCCTTGATACTAACAATGAGCAATTGAAATTGAAATTTATAAAAACAATACCATTTACAAATAGTATAAGACATTAAATATTTAAGGGTAGATTTAACAATATATGTGTGAGAGTTGTACACAGAAAACTATAAAATACCACTGAGAAAGATAGAAAGATTCAAGACTCAGTATTGTTACAGGGTTGTCCCCAAGTTAACCTTCAGATTGAATGCAGTATCCATCGGAACCACAGCTAGGTTGGTTTGTTTTTTGTTTTAGAAACTGACAAGCTTGTTTTAAAATTGATAAAGAAACACAAAGGACCTGGAAGAGGCCAATGATTTTTAAAAAGAGCAAAGCTGAGAGGCTTACATTTCAAGTCTTACTGTAAAGCTGTAACAATCAAGACAGTACTGGCTTAAAGACAGACACAGATGTCAAAGAATAACATGAGAATCCAGAAGTAAGTGCTTATGTTTATGACAAGTGGTTTTCAGCAAAGGTGCAAAGATAATCCAATGCAGAAAGGGTAGTCATATCAACAAAAGTTGCTGGAACAATTAGATTTCCATCTGTAAAGAATACCTGAGCCAGGCGCCTGTGACTGACTCCTGTAGGATCCTAGCTAGCTGGGAGGCTGAGATCAGGAGGATTGAAGTTTGAGACTAGCCCAGACAAATAGTTCTCAAGACCCCATCTCCAAAACTAATCAGGGCAAATGGACTGGAGGTGTGGCTCAAATGGTAGAGTGCCTGCTTTGCAAGCACAAAGCCCTGAGTTCAAATCCCAGTCCCACCAAAGAAAACCTCAAACTACACACACACAACACACACACACACACACACACAGTCTATATGCACATATATGTATGTTAGCTAGTTAATATTGGTAAATACTGATTGCAAATAGTTCATAGCCTAAATATAAGAACTACAATTATAAAACTTCTAGAAGAAAACCAGTGAGAGTCTCTGTGTTCTTGGATTTGTGCAAAGAAAAGCACAAACTATAAAATAAAACAAAAATACTAAACTGGGTTCTACCAAAATTAAAAGGTTTTACACTTCAAAAGACAGTTAAGAAAATGATTACAGTCTCATGCTTGTAATCCTAGCTATTCAGAAGGCAGAGATTGGGAGGATCATGGTTCGAAGCCATCCCTGGGCAAACTCTATCTTGAAAACACCCATCACATAAAAGGACTGGTGATGTGGCTCAAGGTGTAGGCCTTGAGTTCAAACCCCAGTACAGCAAAAAAGAAAGAAAGAAAAGCCCAACACTGACAGAAAATTGCAAAATACCTCTGATAGGAGGCCAATCTAAAATCTTTAAAAGAACTCTTACAGGTCAAAAATAAGAGGACCAGAATTGGAAAAAGTACATCAAACAACAAAAGACATGGATGGCAAATCAGCCAATGGAAAAACACACAGCTTAATTTGTCCTCAGATGCGGGAGAAGTTGTCAGATACTGTGAAGTGCACAGTCGCAGAATAACTAAACTTCAGAACCTGACAGTGCAGTGTTGGGGAGGCTGTGGGAGCTCCTGGAACACCTTCCTCTACATGGCTGATGGGATGCAAATGGTGCAGCCACTTTGGAAGCCAGTTTTCTACGTTCTTACCAAGTTTAATGCACACTTACCAATAATTAAACTATCCCACTAAAGATATTTGTCCAAGAAAATGAAATCCTATATCCACACAAAACCTGTACGTAACAGCCCAACTGTCCTCAGTGACTGAACAGACTAACTGTGGTTTATCCACACAGTGGGATAGGACTCAGCAAGACACAGGAATGAACTACTGATCCTGACCACAGTATGGATGAATCTCAAAACCACTGTGGAAGTGAAAGAGCCTACTCCCAAAAGGTCACACACCATATGATTCCATTTGTAGAAAAGGAGAGCTATGATCCCAGAAGGTAGATGGGTGGTTCCAGGTCCCAGGAAAGAGAATAGCAAAGGGACAAAGGACTCTTTCAGGGGTAGAAAAGGTGCTCTGCATCATGAGTGTGGTGGTTATGCAGTGGTGTCACTTGTCAAACTTATCAAATTGTATGCATAAAATTGGTGAATTTTGTTGCACATAAATTTTACTTCAATAAAGCTGACCAGCAAAAATGAGCTCCAACCTGAGGGGTTGAGGTAGGAGA